TGTCATCCCACCTCATCAATTATGGTTTGAATTTCAAGAAAAAAAGCAATTATTGTATAATTGGCCATCAGGACAATTGAACTCTTTTTTCAGGGCACCAGCCAAATTGTCTTTTACTGAGGACACTTATGTGGCTCAACATTTTTATTTAATGCATGTGTTTACTCAAGATTTTTTATATTGAACATGATATGTATGTATGATGTTTTTTTATCTTCATGATTCGCATTTGATGATTTTAACAGTAACTTAATTTTTTGAATTTAACTTTTACATTTTAATGGGGTAATTTAAACTTAATTTTTTTCATTAAAGGGGTGGTTATTAATTTTTTTTCCCATTCAAGGGGGGAATTTGTGGTGTGATCATGGGATCACCAGAATGTTTATTTTTCCTACTGGGCTGTCTCCAACAGGAGCGCCCTCTTCGTTGGCTTTGCAGGATCTCTAGGGCTCGACTCTTAGCTCGTCTTTAGAGATTCTCGCAACCGCTAAGGAGAGGACGCTATCTTTTGGAGATAGACCATTATTCCCCGTGGATCTTAGAGGTGAGCAGTTGCTTTTTTAGAGAGAACGGCGTTTTTTTTCGATGTTATCCCCCTGTGTGCTCTATAGTCAATCTTTAGAATTTTACATTTTTATAAGTTTCTGAAACCTTATCCTCTAATTATTTGATGCATCATAAAATTCTACAAAAAAATACGTCAACTACTTCATTATGCTAAATTAAATTTCTGTCTACTCCCTGGAGCACACAGGGAGGACCCAGCATCCACGTGGTGGATTTTCCCTTTTGTAAATTTGTGAGTCATATACTAGAAGTGCATGATATCTAAGAACTAAAACAAATAAAAGATGGATAACCTTTTTTTCTACGAAATCCTGTGATTTTTTGGTTCACAAAGATCTACCAGTCTTCGGCGTTTTTAGAAAGAGGATTTGTTGAATATATTATCTGCAGCTTATGGGATGATAAATTCCAAAAAGTAATCTCCAAGAATCCAGTGAAATTCATTACCACACCACCTCCCTTTCAAAACTACCTCCCCCCGGCAATATATATATATATA